GCTGGCTGAGGAACTCTGGGAGTTGAAGTCCACAAGTCTTAAAGTTGCCAAGGTTGGAGACCCCTGAGCTACATAACTAAGCTATTGCTGATCACATGTATCAATGGTCAGAAACACATTTCCAGGATCTCTCAACACTCCCAAATAGCAGTCTTACCCCCATCCACCCCCAAAATAAATATTAAAACAAAAAAAAAACAAAAAAACACCTCACAATATCACCAAAATGTTCAACAAAATTTGCATGCTTTCAGAGACAAAATACAAAAGCCTGCAACATTGATGGGGGGAAAATGCAAGATTTGAAACTGTCAAGATCTTGTAAGATTTGGTAGTCTTACACAATTTTGCCCACTTTTAATTTCATTTCATTTTGGTGCCCTCTATCAAGTCCAGAGAGGCGGGCAAGGTCACGAAACAAGAACCCAACTGGATTTCTGGAAAAGAATGTAGGAGAATTCTGAAAGTGTACCCAAGACATTCTCTAACACAACTTATACCTAGTATAATTCTGGCAGATCTATTCTGCATCTCTTTCTCACCCCCCACTGCTGAAATACAATAAATTAATTTTTGATTAGCTGATATTTTATTATAAATATTAGAAGTATTACCTGTTCCATTGTGCCAATCCATTCTTCTTTTCCCAAAGCCAAGTTTTGTACAGGACGCATCATCCTACAAGGGGTAGTGAAAATAAAAAGTCCTGGGTAGAGACTGGGTTTCCCTGTCATCGGAATGAGCACCACTTCTGTCCAACCTGGAATCTTCTTTTCTTGCATTGCCTGTTAACAGTTATCAAGTCTCAAAATGATTTATTTTTATATATTTTATATACAACAGAAAGGAGAAATAAGTTAGCATTTAAAGTAATTCACAGGTAGTAACAATAAGCCTTGTAAGATTTAAAGAGAATTAAAAGGAAGAAAGGAGAGACAAGTGACTTCATCAAGAGCTATGACTTTTGAAGGAAGTAGAAACCCACCTGGAAAATCATCTAATTCTGAATGACAATCATGGGTGCCATCACCCAATCAATACAATTTTCCAAGAGAGTGGAACTGAGATATACACTGTAGTCAAGCAAGGAAGACTCACCTTGAAGCGCCTGAAAGTCTCCACAAGATCAGGAGCCTGATCCTTTTCTATCCAGCCCACCAGAGCTCCATCTAATGTAACTGGATAACATTCAGCATAAGGTTGGCTTGGTACACCATCAACTGGGGTGACACCTATGGAAACATTTTGTGGCAATGCTTATCATGTTATGAACAACTGTACAGAAACTTCCCAGAAAGTTAGGGGAGTCCAATTTAACACCTTCTCACTGGTATTCTGGAACTGCTATTCCTAAAATTCCCCAGCATGGCCATTAGGTAAAAGACACAGATGGGATTTGCTTTGATCAAGGAATCCTTATTATGGATGGAAGTATATGGAAGACAATGGTAGAATTTCTTCTTAATGTAAAAAATTAGAAAATCTAAAAACCAATTAAAGCCAAAAAAATGTTGCATTTGGACCTAATATATTCAAAGCCCCAATTTAACCACAAACTAAGCAAATTGATGAAAAAATCTCATTATCTACTTCATCTCCTCCTCTGGAGAATTAATGTGTTTATTTCATAGATAAGGTTCATAAAAATGAACTATCTTAAATTATGATACTTATGCCAGTTCATCCATTTTACAGACTGGCTGCTATAGTCCACTTATTTAATTTCAAGGCTTTCTGAGATTCATCTGATAGCCAGATTATAATATGTAGAACATCTTGAGACCAAATCTTTAAAAAAAAACCTTCTTTTTTGATATTCTTCTCTCAAGTGAAAAACATTATTACATCACTATTTTAACTTAAATAATAATAGACAGTTAACTCCTTGAAGGGTCTTTTCTATAACATTACTGTACTTCTAATGCTATTTCTTAAAAACACATTTTCCTCAGTATTCAGCCAAAAAGCTTCCAGAAAGCCTTATAAATATAAATAGTGAGGCAAGATCTGTCCCCAGGTTTACTATCTAAAAAGCATAATAAATATCATAAAAGGAAAAATGAGGACTCACAAAACTACCAGTTTTTAAAAGATAAATTACATAAATTATTAATAACATACGTAGATATTAACATCTTTGTTAGAAGGGATAGAGAAAAAATTGATAAAATAGAAATGAATCACTGGATTGCTATAAGTTTAAGGTTCTGTTGTGATAACAAATAGTCAAATATTTGAAATTAAAAGAAGGTATAAATACCACCAGTTTGAAGTTTAGATGAATGTATGAAAAATCCCTTAGTCTACCTAGTTCTGTGTGGCTGCCCTTTTAGGGCAGGAAGATTTTTTAAAAATAGGGATGGATGAATGTATTTTCGTTCTCAGTAAGTTCTTTCTCATTCCAGTTTCCTTTTGTCTTGTTTCCCCATGCTTTTAGTTTTTTTTAAATATGCACAATGATTGGTGAGCATTTCTTTAACTATACCTTTTGTCTATACTCTCTCTCTAAATGTATATTGTTTGGGAATATTGTTGTGCAACACAAAGTATGTCAAGTGCAAATTGTGCACATTTTTGTATAACGTAACTTAAATCACATGCTGCATTATTACATTGTTGAAAAGTGTCCAGTTTGGTGCAATTCCATTCCATTTTCAGGAATATGAATTATGAAAGTTCACATAAAACATTTATGAGATTGATTTCTTTCCCACCTTTATTTTCAGGCAGAGATAATCTGCTTCTAAATACAGGTAATCCTTGTCTTCAAACAGCACTGAATAAGAGACTTATGACTGATCCTCACACTTATAAACGTTGCAGGGTGTTCACATGATCAACATTCAGGTGCTTGGCAACTGGCATGTAGTTACATTGCTTGCAGCATCCCAGGGTCAGGTGACTGTCCTCTGCAACCTTCACAGCCAGTTTCTGACAAAGGCAATGTGGGAAGCCAGATTTGCTTAACAACCATGGCAAAAGTGATAATAAAGACAGGTGTAACTCACTTTCCAACTGCCTTGCTTAGCAACAGAAATTCTGGTATCAAATGTGATCGTAAATTGAGGACTACCAGTAGCCTTCTGCAAATCCTTCTGAATAATTGCTGAGGAATGTGTACAAGTGCATGAGATACATTTTTCTTTGAATTATTACTGGAGTTATGCCAGATTCACATGACTACTTGGGTTGCTCCTGGCTTACCTATTCATGATCTACAACGGGGTTCTTCAAAATTGACAGCTTTAAGACTTGCAGACTTCAACTGCCAGAATTCCTCCTCATCATGTTAGCTTAGGAATCCTGGGAGTTGAAGTCCACAAGTCTTAAACTTGCCAAGTCTGAAGACCCTTGATTTACAGGATGGTTCTATAATACTGTTAAGATGCAGCTGTACTTTATGAAGAAAGATTGATTGCTGGAGTATTGCTGTTGATCGGAGGATTTGGATACAAGACCACTGCTTTATAAACGGTTGTAAACATGCAGAAGTTATACTTCTGAAAAAGTGATCCTCCTAATACAAGACTGGTTTACCATAAAAGCATTTTCTGACCATTCCAAATGATTAACACTCACCTAAAGAGCAAAGCAACGGTAGCAGAGATACAGTGTTGAAAGTCTGGGTTACGATTTCACAGGCGGCCGTCATATGGTTCATCAAGCCACAAGGCTCGCCGTCTGGTGTGTGGACAGGACAGAGGAAGCCCCAGGACTCTGGCAACAGCTTGCGCACTGTTGTGGTTCTCATCTTCAGAAAAGCAGCTCCTCTGTGCACGCAACGGAAGTGGGAGAGGTAGCGGAAGAAGTTCAGCTTGTCTGCTATCACACACAGACCTGATGCTTGCAGCATGCCCAAACCTTGGAAAGTCGTAAGGGGGAGGGGGTGGGAGGAAAATAATAGAAATCTGATCTTCTCCAATTCTGTACTTAGACCAATTGTTTGTGAACAGCAGCAGTTTAATGCTTTTATTATGAACAGGGTTTGCCAACACTCAGCTCTAGTTACATTTGTATTTCTCAGGGAGACACATAGCAAGTGTTAGAACTTCATATTTTAGACAAGGAATATCAGTACACTTGGGATTCAAGAGATCAGAAAAGAGGAAGAAGTCTTGCAGGCATTGCATGGATTCCCTAATCTCCTTTTTAGGTGCAGTTTTTTTTTTACTCTGTGTTGCTGACTGGTTGCAGTAATGTAATTCTGGAAGAGGCTTAGCTGAGAAGAGCTGACCCTAGAGCAAAAATAGTCACACACAGAAAACAAGCACTTTTGATTACAATAAACAAAACTCAAATATGTAAGTTTGTTATATGGGTTTTAGTCTGTATACTCCACTCTAAGAAAATTTAAGATTCAACATTAAAATCACCAAAATTTGGGAACAAAATGTTATTTTTTAATCAAATTTTTACATTGCCCATATCACTTTCTAAATAATACTGGGTGGTTTAAAAGTAAAATACTCTAGAATCCACATACAAATCCATATAAAAATAGACAAAGTTAAAGAATTGTGGTATATCATGCACATACAGCAGATCTGAATGATTTTCTTATTCCTATTTTGAATTGTCTGAACTGTTTCCAGATGTTTTTAGAGTGAGAAAAGCTAGGCAATGTGGAAATGTCACCACAAACATCTAGCCACCTACAGTGCTTTGGAATGAGGCAAGAGAACAAAATCATGTTAAACAAACTGTGAATTTGGCTTTATACCATGCTGGGAAGAGCCGGGCACAATAAGGAGTACACTACCTCTGTGCCATTAAGATTCAGTGGTACATAGGAAGAAGCTGACTATTTTGCTTGTGATCTGCCCAAAAATGCCCAGAGAGAACTAGCTAAAAGATTCACATATACCCAAAGAATGTGTGTATTTCATACATAAAGCCAAAATTGCTTTCTTTAAGAAGCTGTAACTTTTTTGGTAGTGCATGGTAGCCATGTATCTTCTTAACTGAAACAAGTAGTTTTCCTGGGATTATACAGCAACTTTGTGGTTTCTAAGAGTAAACACCTACTTAATGGCATATAATCAATCAATAAAAATGGCATATAATCAATCAATACAAAACCAGGAAAATATGCTCTTTTAAGAAGACAGAAGTAAATGTGGAATGTGTGCAACGCTCCCTAGTACACTATGGGGTAAGATCCAGCAATGTGTCTACTGAGCTGGAAACGTTTTGGCAATTTTGTAATTTGCAGCACTGATTCAAATGGCCAAGTAAAGTTAAAGATTCAGTATAACTCTTTTATGAACTATGACTGCAATCTTTGCTACTAAGCTGGAACAGGGATAACCCATCACAGCATACATTAAAAAAAAAAGCCATTATTTTTTGAAAATGCTTTTTCATACAACTTTGGACTAGACCAGAGTTGACATCTAATTGTATTCAATTATTTTAAGACCCTTTAGGAATATAGTGTTGTACCAATTTCATTAGAACAGGGGTAAGGAAACTTGGCTCTTTTATCACTTATGGACTTCAACTCCCAGAATTCCTGAGTGAGCCATAAAAGTTTCCCCATCCCTGGCCTACTGGTTTTTCAGTTGTGGGGGAAATCAAT